TATAGAAATATCTAAGTCAATAGTTCAATCAAGTACTTCAGCACGAAACATCGGTGTAACTTTCGACCAACACATGTCAATGGATAAACATATTACCAACATTTGCAAGAACTGTTTTTTCCATTTGAGGAAAATAGCAAGAATAAAAGAGTACTTATCAAAATCAGATATCCAAACCCTAGTTCATGCCTTTATTACATCGAAACTGGATAATTGCAACTCTTTGCTATACGGACTACCTAAATTTCTTATGGATCGGTTACAGAATGTGCAAAACTGTGCTGCTCGTCTGGTGACAGGAAGCAGAAAATACGACCATGTTACTCCATTAATGAAACAATTACATTGGCTCCCCATTAGTCAATGCACCATCTATAAAATTGTTCTTATTACATATAAATCCCTGAATGGTGCTGCTCCACATTACATTAACAATATGCTAAAACCTTACACAACATCAGCAAATTTACGCTCTTCATCCAAGGGACTGCTCACAATACCCTCAGTAAAATTGGTTAACTATGGTGAACGATCGTTCTCATATGTGGCACCGAAACTGTGGAACGAACTACCAGAACATGTTAGAAAGAGTGAGACCTTGCCTATTTTTAAAACTAGATTAAAGACACATCTTTTTAAACAGTGTTATGACTAAGTACTATTTTAACAAGAGTATTACCAATTTTATAGTATTTTATATAGTTTTGTTTTAATATTGTCAACATTTATAGTATAAAGTAATTTTATATTCATAATGAAAAGAACATATAATACTTTTAGTATAGTTAATGTATGTATTACCAACCTTAGTATTATGCATGTACTTATATATAGTATATATTTTTAACACTTAATGTTAAGCGCCATTGAGCTACAGGAAATGGCGCTATATAAATGAGTAATAATAATAATAATAATAGGCGGCTTTTTAACCTTTATTTGAATTAATATACTGACTGAGTCTGTTAACTTTAATAATATGAGTCATTTTTAATATGATATACCTGTGTTATAATATAATTGATATTAAAAACGAAAGGATTTTAGCTAAATATTATTTACATTATTTTATATGATGTAAAATAGCGATATATATTGTTATATAAATCTGTTCAGTGTTGAATGCTGTTATATTTGTCTCTTTGGACTTTGGTTCATGCAATAACAACAATGTCAAAGCTAATTTTATATAAATTGCAATAGCAGCAAATTGCCACAACAAAATATTTGCTGTATCACCTGTATGCGTTTTTAAAACAACTATTAAATCTTCTTTTGATAGCATCAGTAAGTTCTGATGATATATTTAATGCATCCTTTTCCCAACTTGATTTTGAAGAAGGTAGCAGACATTTGAATGCATCATGCATCACATTTTTGGTGATCTGAAGCATTATAATATAGTAAATTTATGAATTAATGATAATAGAAATGTTGTTAATTTATTATGTTGTTAGATAGTGATGTCCTCATTGCCACTGAAGCAGATTATGAGATGGAGAACTATGGCAAGATTGAAAAATCTAGCAGTTTATCAAGTGGTCTCGAACTGACAATTGCACCATGAAACTCGGTGGTGCAATCAGCACACCACCATAGCCCTAGTAGGGGGAAGTGAAACTTAATGAGCAAAGTTGTTAATTTGCAAAGTTTAATGTGCCTAGCTTGTTTAGACGTTAAGATGTGGATAAATATTGCCATACAGCCACAGCTCTAGATCTTTTTTTAATGTAAATACTAGTAGTTTATATTATGAGCAAAATAAATAAAATTCTCAACATTTTAGGTTAAATGTTCCAGTGGTTGTTTGCATAGTATGTTGATGAGGTATATCTCATTTAGTCAAGTTGTGTAAAACATTCATGAGGATTTAGGAGCAAGCACAGAGACAACTGGGATAGGTCTTGTGTTTACACTACAAACCTACACTTGTCCAAGCTGTTTACTGGGACTTACCTTGAGTAACCTGAGAATGATTTCAGGTAAAGCATTTGTGTGTATAAACGTGTTTGGATTGTTTAATCCCAAGACCAATTTCCATGGCAACATGGTAAATCATGTGTGTATATGTATGGTACATGTATGGGTGTATTTTTGTGTGTTTATACACCATACTTTGCTGGGCTGATTTTAGATTTTGCTAACTGTTGACAAATATTTTCAGTGAGACCATCAAATGTTTGCCACATATTTTTCAAATGTGATTGATTTTTAAATATCGATACCATCTGTACTGTAATCAGCCCAACAAATTGCGATGTGCAACCATGCCTTTAAATTGTCCAATTTGTTAGACTATGTCTGTAACTGGTATCAAATGCATTGTATGCAGCCAGAGGTAAATCCAGAGTATACCCCATTCCTTAGTGTAAATATAGTAGATTTTGGCAATCAAGGGCAAGCCTTCATAGTTCAAAACTCAAAAGTAAGGTGAATCACAAACATCAACAGGTGAACCATGCATGAGATGAGATTAGTTTGGTCTGGTTTGTGGTTTATATAATTATTGTCAGCCAGTTACAACAATAGAGCCCTAAAATTTATGTTTTTATCTTCACCATATTTTGCATACTAAAACGTACTCATGCATGTTAATTTATATTCCTTCTATTGGCAAAATTTTAGAAACCTACAATCATTAAATATTTTCCAGTTAATTTTCTCCTCTGAGGTAAAATGTATCATCAGCACAAATTAAATAGTAGTTTCAACATTCCATATTTATAAAATTCAATGTATATAATTAAAATATCAAGAATATAAAGTTATAAACTTGGCCAGTTTCTTTGACTTTGGCTTTGTTGTCAGAATGCTTTTCTTTCAAACTGCAAAAAGGCAGTACATTTCATGATGTGCATCCAATACCAGACATATATATTTCAACCATTTGAAATAAACCATGACCAGGAGATTTTCTATTAAATTTCGAGAGGTCCTGAGGAAACTCGCCAGCTAAAATGATAAATATATAATACTGTTTTCCAGGAAAAATAATTATTATCAATGCAGTGATCATTTGGACATAAAATCTTTCCCAAATGTCACGCTCGATGGGCAGGCCTTTCGATTTCATTGAGTATAGTACAGCAATTTCCTCATTTGCATCCTCATGTCCGCCATGTTTGTTACAAATTCTGCCAGGCGCTTCGTTTCCTGCAACCTCCCCAAGCACCCCCGCGCGCTCGAGCCACTGATCTATATAAAAACACTGTAGTGTGCCCATTTATAGCACCTGGGTACGAGGCTGAGACAATTGTATTAGAAATGAATTTATGTGGCACCAAAACGCTTGTTTCCAAGCCGATTTTTTAACCCTTTTGGTTATAACTCCTAGACGTTTCATCCGATCAAAACGAAATTTTCAGAGTATATTGGTGACACCCAAACCTACAAAATGGTGAACCAAATGAACACTTATTGTTGCCATGGCAACCGTATGATGTCATCAAAATACAATAAATTATGTGAAATGTGTGATTAGCCAATTTATTACTGACAAATAGCATCTCAGACATGATTTTAAACCTTGTATGATACAAGTTGACAATAATAGTACACAAAGACATTCAACTTTGCATTACCATGGAAACTAGGTGATGTCGTAACAATGTCACAAACCTAAACAATAGCATTGATATAAACACACTTTTTCACTTTAAAACAAATATTTTTCTTAAAGAGGGCCTATATGGAAGATTGCTGGATCATACAATGTTTCACAGATAACTTTTTAGTTACCATGGTAACTTGTGGTTACCATGGTAACTTGTGACATCATAACTTTATATTCGCTTTAATTAAAATTTATACACGTCTTTAGCTCGGCATCTACTAATGACTGATTTTAAAAACATTTTTTCATTTCCAATTACTCCATACAATAAGTAGCATGCATCAATGCATGCATTTCAAAATCACCATTTCCATGACAACACAGCAGATTATGACATCATTAATGATGTCACTTTATAGCATAGTGATTTTCAACATGATATACCGTACTTAAGTAATATACAACATAATAGACAAATACAAATACTTTTTCAACACGATAATTACAAAAAATAAATATGATTATGACACAAATATCTGAGCTACGTATTACAACTGGACTGTTAGCTCTAAGTGAGATAGCTTCTTGCATTACTGTTTCACTGATTAATTTATGGGTAATCGTTCCATGTTTCGTGCACCAATATAGTAAACGTTATGTAATGGATATTATAGTGTATTGAAAAGTTCACTAGATACCTCCATACACATATATACACACCCTAACCCCAACCTTAACCCTAATACCTAACCCATATTGGTGTGTGAAACATGGAATGATAACCAATTTATGTAAGTCATATTTGTTACACCTGTCACCCTGTCAATCCATGGTATTGTATTGTACAATTATTGTATGAACAGTTATCTCATGCACCATGATTTCCCTAAATTTGTAAAAAAAAGAAAAAAGAAATATAATTATTTGGTATCTAATTAATTAGTTATGATCGGCATAACAATTGCAGCAGTGCCGTAGCCAGAATGATAATTGAGGGGGCACATATTCATATATTCGTGTTCAAATACCATAAAAACAATTGATTTCAAAAGAAATTAATAAAGCAGAACACAAATATATGAATATGTGCCCCCCCCCCCCCAATTATTGTTCTGGCTATCCCAGCAGCTATCTTTTCCCACTCTTCCCCAAAGCCTTTTCCTTTGTCACTTGTCAAATGAAGATCGGAAACAATACTGCAACTGCTAACTGTTTTTTTTAAAGCTTAGCTTGTCTGCTTGCAGTTGCAAATATGATTAGGTACGATGATATTTTTTGTCCAGTACAAGTAGGCCTTCTCTACCATTTCACATATTGTGACTAGTGACTACTCATTTCAAATATTTCGATCAACAAATTAAAACCATGGCCAGAAATGGAGGACAGCAACCGGTGAGGCGCGCGGGCTCATGTTCTCTTGATAATTCAGTGCACTATACAGATCAGTGGTTGAGTTTGGTAAATACAAATGGCTGTTCATTTTTATCGAGAACTAAATAATCTGAGCACGGCAGATTTTCTTATTGAAAATAAGAAGAGAAAAGGGAAGTTTTATAAAGTAGAGAGAATTATCTCTAGAAGAACGCAAAAAAGAAAGGTGAAGCAACATAAATGTACTTTAATAGTGTTTTTATCGTCGTGTTGTATTGTAGAAATATGTGCTATTTTAATATAATAACTTGCTGTCTTTTATACATTTTAATAAGGCTGAATATCTCGTAAAGTGGAGTGGATATGGCTCATTGGAAAATAGTTGGGAGCCTGAAGAAAATTTAAATGCTTTTGCCTTAAGGTAAGCGGTATTTTAATATATTGAGACTTGATTGAGTTGATATTTTACATATTTACAAGAAGGATCATGCTTAACAGCTTAAAAGTCTGCGTCAAGGATAGACTTTGACATCTTGTTTTCTTTCATATTGCTGTAGAACATATTGGAACCCATAGCCAGCTGCAGATCTGCTTTCCTCATGTGTTGATACGCTTCACACTGCAATGTTGGAAAATTTAAAATCAAAAAGTATGCTACCAACAGTGCTAAACTTCAGGCATGATGTTTTCAGAGCTCTATTTAAAGACCAGGGTGTAGAGACTGAAGATGGAAGGCATATTTTGCTGGAAAAGAATGACTTTCAAAGGTGCCATCTCCCGGAACAGTGGGACCAGATACTAGACCGGTTGGGAAATGGAATAAAGATTGCATTTCCTGTAAAAGCAAGACCATTTATTTCTCAGAGCACAAAAACCTACAAAGTTATCTGTGGAAAATTAGAGTTAATGCCCAGATACAATATTGAGAAATTATCTATTACTTGTAGGAAACAACCATTTGTTGTTATAATGTAAATATTTAGGATTATTTTCTAGTTGAGTCTGTTTTCTTTCATATACCGTGGGACGTATACAGGTTATAACCTGTATTTAGATTAATCTTGTTGACAAAACTCGAAAAATCTTGATGGATGGACTTTGAAATTAATGAAATCTTGTTGGAAAACCTTCTCAACTAGAAAATAAGTCAGTTATAAACCTTGAACTTGGGATATAACTA